AGACTCACTTGACCGACTTAGGTCGCCATATCTAGTAATATAAGCCCCTAAAGTGTGGTTCAGAAGGAGTCGCTCCTAGAATTCCAAGCAGAGTAGATTCACCTTCCTAAATGACTCCAGTTCAGTCTAGGTGATTTGACTTTACTTGCTAACTGCCTAGATTGGCCGTAAAATATTGATATGAAGAGACCTCCAAAGAGACAATTAGGCTTTTCGAACTTTCTGAATGCATCCCAGAAACCCTAGTTCAAGCATGTAATTCTAGTGCAAAGAAGGAGTTGGACAACCGAGAATTCGAGTTTCCAGACTGCTTCTTTGTTCAGAGTTCATTTGATCTTATTGGCTTGCAGCAAAGCTTTCCGGCAGCGCTCTGCAAACCGCTAAAGCACTGGCACATTCCCACACGAGCTCTGGAAATCTCCTGAAATCCGAGGGGATGTCGGCAACACTTGGAGCGTAAAAAGTCCGTTGTGCGTGCGATTTGAGCATTCAAAGTGCGTGTGAGTTTATGTGCGTTTTATAAACAATGCTACAAACAGACTAAATGACCAGATGGCATCGTATTTCGGGCAGCCATCAGAGAGACATTTTCGCGCTGCCAACAGCCGTTGTGACTACTGCAGAGAGCGAATAGAAGAAAGTGCGCTTCTCCTCATACGCCTCTCTTTTGCAGCTTTCCATAAGTTTTCCTGCTCGGGTGCTGACATTGAGTCATCTTGGTGGAGGAACGGAGTAGTACGTAGACTTGTAGGTGGCCTACCATTTCGTTGATTGACGTATGTGATGGTGAATGCTACGCAAACTCCGTTGGTAAAATCAGTTCCACATTGCCTGCAAAATGCAGCTCCGTCTAGTTTTCGCTTTACACTCAGTACATGGTGTCTTCTCCTAAGAAGTTGCTCAGTCTAGACTTGCGACATGATCTTCGACGCACCCTCTCTTCCCCACCCCGTACTGGGCCTGCAAAAGCCGACAGAAATTTGAAAAAAAAANAAAAAAAAATTGAAAACTAACCATTCAACTGAACTGTTCATCGTAGATTCACTTAAACGCACCGCAGGGTAATCCCAAAAATCGCAGGACCTTGGCATCGCTTAGGCTTAGATCACAGATAGCGTAACCTCATCTGCAACTGCAATTGAGGAAGGGGAGGGGGCACTTGAACGCAAGACGGGCTCAGCTGTACCGAGATATGGTGCACGTTGTGCACTTATGCTCACCCTCCCTCCTTTTGCAGAAGATAAGAATTTGAGCTACCTGTGCACGAGGCCCCTTCCTGTGCCCTATCTGCTGTGGGGGCGCTTCCGATTCGGTGATTGTTTTTGTATAAATGCATGTGCTACGGATGTGTGTATGCGACTCTGTTTACGCTTGTTCTCGGCGTCTCTCGGCGTTTCATATGACTCTCATGTTCTTTGCCTGAGTGATTACGGTATCTGCAACGGTAGCATGCACAAACATCAAGTGACTAGGCAATCAGGATTCTGCTGTTCTTTGAAACAACCACCAGAATACCTCAAGATGACTTGGGAGTAGGAATTCCAAGGTCGAGCATTACAAGCCTCAATACAAGATAAGGAGCATGCCTTCCCTGAGATTCCCCAAGCCCTGTGACCCATGGTTACTAAGAGCAATAATGTGACGAAAATTTTGAAAGTGAGAAGAATCGCCTCTCACACGATGAGGGTGATGAAGTCGGAGAGGTAGTTAGGATGTTCGATGGACCACATGTGGGCGACGGTCAACTCTCTGTCGCCAATAATAACTCACTAATAGCTTTGAGTTTCGGATAGTTTCTCCCACTGCATTAATCAATTGTCACCGAGCTTTTGACTCTCCCAAGCTTTTGAATATGTTTCTGAGTATTACTAGAATATCTGGAAGAGGGTTTATACTTTTCACATGATCGACCATTTCGAATTCTGCTAAAAAAACCCGCTATTTCTTGCCTTTTTTCGTGTTGACGCATCTGCATGACTCGTGTTTACATCCTCAGATCCATCACCTCATCTCTTGATTTTGGACAGGTCGTCAGGGTAATCACAAGTGGGTGATTCGGGCTTCCCAAAATTGGGAGTATTTTCAAAAATTATGCAAATTTACAACGTCTATTGATTGATGCGCATTAGCAGGTGGCGTGGTGGTGTGTGTGTTGTGTGAGACAGACATAAATATTGCTGACACCAAACTTCTCGCCATAGCTCAGACGTCTGTCATGACCTTGCCGGGCTCAGGTGCCGGCGAGCTTCATCGATGCTTGAGCGCTAATCTCAGCCGGAATATTTCGGAGATTCCGCGTGGGGCACTCCATTGTTGCGACCCCATGGGAAGATGATGGTTGCTTTGAGCTGAATGCACACCGTTCGATCAAAATATTGTTTTTTGCTGTTCCGCACAGCCGCACATATGTCAGTGCTTACTCAAAAATCTGAGCTGTTTATGAACCACCACCACCAATTCCGCCCGGACCTTAGGAATTTTCCCACAGCCGCCATCCGCCCATATCCTGAGCGCATCACGCCCCAATTCTAAGGTTTCCAGTGACTCTAGATTGGAGTCAAGTCATTGGCGGGTGTTGCGAGCACCAGTCGGCGTCGGTTGGCATTACACCATTGGGTTCAGCCGACAAATTGCGGCGTTTTTCGACCGAATACAAGGCCCCAGGGGCAAGTCCCTAGACCATTCTGTGGTCTCCTCATAGCTGTCGACTTGTGGCTAGGATATCATGGTTCCAGTTATTTATCGGTGCCAAGCTTATTACATCAACGGCCGTGTTCCTCTGGGCTTGGTTCAGAGAGCAACTGATCTTACCTGAACGTTGCCGTAGCCGCGTTTACACCGTTTATCGCCGTTGAAATGAGCGCTTTCCGTCTGTCGCGCTCTGCCATTCATCGCTTCATTAGAATTTGAGAAAAGTTTCTGGCCCGTTTTACAATGTCGTTGTCGGATCCGATCAGCATCTGTTTACCTGAGTGTTGCAGGGCGTTGTGCGTGTGTGTGTGTCGATGAGTCCGCCTTGCACCTAACACTTGTCTGTGTCAATGTCTTTCTTCCACACATACGTAATTGGGGGAAGAATCCTGGGAAATACATGTCGATGTAAATGCTGAGCCCTTGTCGAGGGGCACTTTTTGATGCTTCTGGATTTCTGATTGCTGACCAATGTTCCTCTCACACTCTGTTTCTCTTACGTCTCAGGTCGGCTTTCGTTGACATCTGCAATCGTTTTGTGTTGCATCTGTGTGGTGTTTCTGCGGTGGAATTCGACTGAAGACACCTTTTTCTTCGCTCTGTCTTACTATTTATACCTCCAAAACCGATGCCGAAAGTAGTTGAGGCTTCGCGTCGCATCGCACTTTCCCCCGTTCAATGTTAGACTCTCAAAAACCGAGTAAGGTGCCTACCTGAGAGCTTCATCGTTCGAGTAGGGACTCATGTCATTTACCATACCTCTTCGTATACCTCTGGATTATGNTTACGTCTCAGGTCGGCTTTCGTTGACATCTGCAATCGTTTTGTGTTGCATCTGTGTGGTGTTTCTGCGGTGGAATTCGACTGAAGACACCTTTTTCTTTGCTCTATCTTACTATTTATACCTCCAAAACCGATGCCGAAAGTAGTTGAGGCTTCGCTTCGCATCGCACTTTCCCCCGTTCAATGTTAGACTCTCAAAAACCGAGTGAGGTGCCTACCTGAGAGCTTTATCGTTCGAGTAGGGACTCATGTCATTTACCATACCTCTTCGTATACCTCTGGATTATGCTCTTTGAAACCATGGTCTTCCCATTGAGACATTCCAGCTAATTTCGACATGGGTGAACCTTTAGTCAAACGTATCATCCCCGAGTAGGGGACTCTTCGATGATTTTCCTTTTGAGATTTTGTAGTAGTTTCCGTAGGCACAAGATCAGAAACCGACTGATTGCAGACCTGACTGGGTGCTTACTTAGCTATTATATCTAGGAAAAGAGAAGGGTCCCCTAGATATAAGAGCTAAGGAAGCATCCAGAAGCATTCGACATCCACTCTCGATTGAGACGAGGTCACCAATAATTGAAGTGGTCACTGAAAACCTCTTTAGTAGACGTACCAGATTCCAGCTAATTTCCAGAGCCTCCTGAAACAGGTCCCATGCCAAATTTCAAAACAGCCCTTGGGTAAAGCGCAGATTGCCCTCCGCCTTTCTGATCCATCTAAAGTCAAAATCTTTCGGAAAGATTTGTAACCCCCGAATCTTGAGATGTCAATTAGAAGCGGCCGAGATGTGAAAGCATAATTACCCCGGCCACTTCTCTATGTCATCGTCGGCGTCGTCGTCGTTTCGCTTGTGTTACTTCCACTGTCGTTGAAAACAAGTAGTAAAAGATTCAGCGTAGAACATACAACTGTTATTGTTTTGTCACCTCTGGGACACCTGCGGGGTTTCGGGATCATTCCGACTTCCTTCTCATTAACGTCGATCATGCTAGAAACCTTCAAGATTTGTCTACAGCTGTCTATTCGAATTTGAGATAATCTTCTTGACAGAGCTGTACTGTCTGTGGTGAAATGTGGGTTCCCCACCCCCTCTCCCCTTTCCGTTCGTGAACTTCGAGCCCCTATACATATGGCAACTAAACATCACCAACAGTACAGAATTCACAAAGATAATCACAATATTTGCCATTAACCTGGCTGTTTATCGTCACCAATTTGGGGCTACCGTATCACTGTATCGAATTGCGCCATCGAAGTTACGTCACCCTCTGTCAATTCACCTTTCACTTCGGTATCAATAGTGGCGATTAGCCTCTACTGCCTATGAAAACAGTAATTTAGAAAGGAATATTTAATGGGTACGGTGCCGCTCAACCCACCTGCGTAACGAGGAGAAATTGTGGAACAACTCATCAGGGAGAGAGTTGTTCGTTCTGTGTCAACGGCTTTCGCGAGTGACAATTTTTCGGTCGTTCGCGACGAATGTCCTGTGAATCATTGCCCTTTTGTTGTTTCAGAGATATATGCCACTGGCGGTGTTGACAAAGTTACTCGAGACGATCTTCTCTGTAAGAAAAATATAAACATATAGAGTGCATTTTTTCATCTGTTCAGTACCAAATCATAATGTCTATCACTCAACTTCCGTTCTACCCGGAATTTGTGCTCAGATTTTCTCAGACCGCAGCTCAAGGGCCTTCCAGGAAGGGTTTACCGTCCATGCTGATCTGGGGTCTTCAAATTCATTTCACCTTCTGCTTATGTATGAAAAGTTGTGCAGTAGCACGACAAACGGATCGAATTTCAAAAAGCGTAAACGGCAGCAAAGCAGCAGGGGGAATATGATGACGTACTGCCGTCTACGGCGACGCTTTTTCGACTGTACGGCCGCCGGCGCTTTTATAGACAACCCTCTTGACAAAGTTTATAGGCCGCAATCGGCTCCAAGAGGCACGAAACGAACCCAATCACAATTTTGTGCCCTTTGCCGCTTGTTCATGTATCAAACCTCAGCAATTGTTGCATCCTTCTCACGAGAACAGATTTCCTTCTATAGTAATAATCTCCGATTACTCGTCTGTCCTATTCTCCTTGTTTGAATCTCTTCATTTCATTAACTACCTTCAAAACAGCTCCTCTTTCAGGCGATCGAAACGTTTCCACGAAGGTCCGCATCCACGCTCCCCTGTCAGTATATGGGGCGTTAACTTTTAACGACTATCTCTGAAGAAACAGGTTCTTGTTTTGCTTTTCTCGAAGCTGTAGATATGTGTGAGAAGTGATATGGGACCTATCCCGCTATCTGAACGGCTAAAGGCATTCGGAAATTGGTTCGCTTCTTTTTTTGCTTTTCCCGAAGCTACAGATATGTGTGAGAAGTGTTATGGGACCTATCCCGCTATCCGGAGGGGTAAGGGCATTCGGGAATCGGTTCGGTTCTTTTTCCGCTTTTCCTGACGGTGCAAATATGTGTGAGAAGTGATATGGGACCTATCCCGCTTTCCGAACGGCTAAAGGCATTCGGGAATCGGTTCACGATTATGTCCAGAGCGATTCTTATCTGTATGTCAGCATTTTCCATAGCTTTCGGGTTATATAACCAGTGAATGGTACGAAAGTACTGTAAAAGTAGACCCTTCTTACCGTTACCTTAAGCGCTGTTCTCGTATTCTACCCATGTAGTACTCACTTTATTGAACCAATGAAAGTACCGGTTCTCAAATAGCTATCACTTGCAGCATATGGGATTTCTCAGCAATATAGTGGGGGATTGAGGTGTGAACATTGAAAAGCGAAAAGGGGCAGTGTAAGAGCGATCGCTCAACTGATAGACGACGTTATGAGTGAGTGGAGAATGAATGGATTACATTGGCTGTCATGCCCCGGGACGTCGTTCTCAAACCGACTACGATGGTGATTTTCATGTTTCAGAAAAACGACACGATGAATTGTCGTCATCTGCTTCTTCTGGCACTATGGACGCTAGTCCTATCTGCCCAGGTAAGCTATGAGAGTTGAAATGACCCTATTTCAAAAAAATTCATTTTCCTGAAGATTCCCACTTTCAACAGATGTTTATGGTAATCACTCAAAAAAAGATGGGAACAGATAACTGATGGAGTTCAAGGAATGAGAAAGGGCGTAAACGAGAGAGTTTCATCAATCTAACATGTCTTTGGACCATGTTCATGACTGATATGGAAGTGTCCAAAGTGTTGCGAACTAGCAACTCCAAGTCTATTAGGACAACGAATGGTTCTGAAGTCATAAAGTCAAGTGTCAGCAAAATTTCAAGAATCCGTGTAGTTTAAACTCAAAGTATTCACGCTTCAACACATCCCCTCCCTCACTTTTATCCCAAATACCACCTCTTCTCGAGTATGGGTAATGCCATGAAGCTATTTTTGAGCCAAGGGAGTGACTCAAAGGATGGAGGCAGAACAAGCTCACGGAAATCTCCGAGAAGCAGTTGCGTACTCCAAGTGGAGAGAAGTCTTCAGTTATGATCTGAAAGGTTCTTAACGAATCGTACTAACCCGTGAAGGAAGGTGAAAATTGCTCGAACGAAAGTCCCCTCTCTCATACATTGTATCATTGCCTCATCATGGTTTAAGTCTCTGAGAAATGCGATCTGGTTGAGCCGCCAAAAGTTCATGTAACGGCTGGCTTCGCTCGGGAACACATGAGTAGGAACACAAACGTTACATCTTATGTTTTCAAAGACACTGAAAAGGTAGTAAAGGGTGATTCAAGGCTGTTTTTTTNTTTTTTTCGATAGACGAGTGTAATGTGTAGTAAAATGTGGTTCGACGTTAACAAACAGCATCGTGCATAGCGGAATGCTCAACAACAGTTTTGAACTTTGAAGGTTCAGAGCTAGGGAGCACAAAGCTATTGAGTAACAAAAGCTTTTCTTTGACAGCGCTTGCACATCTTAAAGGCACAGTTCACGATGAAAATGGTTTCTGAGATTTCCCTATGGTGTAAATTCGAGGCCACCCAACCTGCTCTTATAAGGTTGAAAATCGTCATGGATAGGGCACAATAAGGGGCTAGAGATTGTACCATGTGAATGCCACACCCATCATGGACGAGTTTCGACGGCTCTGTAGAGGCTGCGCTATCTCAAGAGACTCCCATGTAGGATGTTCAAACAACTTGTCATAACCCATGCCGAGAGTGAACGGCAGTATTGGACAATTCCGGCTTGATGTAGTCATCTCTTTGAGCGATGGGAGGAAGTTAAATCTCGTCCAGACACCCCTTACATGCCATTACCGTCACGGTGATCTCGAACAGCCCAAACTTCCACTACTTTTAAAAAACTCTGAAGTAGGCGAAATTCCTCGCTCTTTTTTGCCACCGATGTACTCCTCTACATCGACAACTCCGCTTTTCAACCTAAATCAACCTAAAAAGGGCGCCTCAAAATTATCGTGACCTGTGCCTTTGAAAGATAAAGCTCTTCTGGAAAGTATCATGCTCGATAGTGACTCTGATGCTATTGTTAGGTAGGTTATGTCCACCAGAAAAGTGGATTCATTGTCCGATTAGAGCAGAAATTTTGTTTTTCTCTGAGGTAGCAGCGACAGATGGTTCTTGCATTTCAAAATCACCCCGTGAGCGAGCTTTGCTTCTTGAACTTTACTGATGGACGTGTTGAATCCTTGCACTTAATGTTGCTATGCTCTGATGGCCGAAATAATGGCCCTGTCAAGTCAAAAGATAACTTTTATAAAGAAAACAACATCTATGATAAGTCCAGCAATCAGTACAGGGACTGATTTTCATCAGATACAGATATCTAAGGGAGGCGCTCGGAAATAACAAAATCCACTGCTGTTTATCAAGAAAAAACAACCTTTTTTAATGTTTACTGTAATATAATGTTCTTTACATATAGGAACTGGTGCCGACCGTTACTGTAGACGATCTGCAAGGCGATCTACAGATACAGGAGTGGATGCGTGAACTGAGACGAGTGAAACGTGCTCCGACTCGAAGTGAGTTCGTACCCACCCCTTACGGTGTTACGCTAGGCAAGACGCCACAGTCCATGGTGTTCAAAAAGTTGCCGTCTACCGTAAACCGCAGGAGAATGTGATTATTTCTATTTTCTCTGTCTCTTTCATCACTTTCCTCTCTGTATACCCAGAGACTATTTCCTTTTTTTCACTATCACTTCTCGAACACACACAATTTCATCTTTCATTTTCAATTTTTTCTACAGGTTATTACAAAGAATGTTGCACTGTAAGGTCAAACAGGAGGACACAGTCAGGTGATTGAGATTCACAACTCCCACAAACATCTGATCTGACTATTTTGAACATTTTCTGTCCAATAACATGCATTTCTTCTGAGAATGCTTTATAGAAGAGGCCCAATCCATGAGCAGGATTTAATGGAGTAGGTTGGTTTGTATGTGGTGGGCTAGACATGTAGGAAACTCACCAACTCGAACAGAGACGAGCTCACGCATATGTCCAAGAAAAATCATTGGTTGTAACGTTCCCGATCCCGAAAAAAGAGAGCCCGGTAGCGTTCCTGACTTGTAATAGATGCATGGGGGAAACAAAAAATGTGCAGTTGTCCGCGTATCAATCACGTTGAAGGTGCCAGTCTGATCAAATCAGCCTCAGCGTTCATGTAGCTGAAAGCACAGAAACCTGGGGAATCGTAGGAAACCAAGAAATCAGCCCTTCTCTGTGTGCTCTATACCAATAGCGCTCTGATAATGTTCGATAAATAAGATTATCGCGTTTAAGATGTCCAACCGATCGTAGTTGTACTGCCGGGCTTCGACGCAGCTCGTGCCTCACCGTACTACCAAGATCGGCCTTACCCGGAACCGTTGAGGCGTCGCAGGGCGAAAAGAGCCAGATACTGTCCGATACTAGGTAGATAACTAGGTAGTTGATGCACACCGCATGCGGTCGAGCACTCTCCCCCTCCGATCCTCCAGTGCAAAGAGGGAACAGTCGATTTCATCGTTCGAATTACATCTGAAGTCACTATAAACGACGAGGATCGGAAATCAAGAGGAGCTCGACCAAACTTTGCGAGCTTCACTGGCATGTTTTTGGTAATGGCGATTTTGGATCGAGTACGTCACTCATAACGGTCCGTTTTGAACAGCATGCACTGCTTTATCTCTCTCTTTTTGAGAAGCCCAATTAGGGTCTATGGCTGTACTCACACTTTTCTTCTATACTCACCCCCTGATCTTATTCTTTTCCGCCTCTAATTCTGGTTCTCTGAGCATTATTTTCTTCTTCATCTTCGCAAATCATCAAATGGGAAGTGGAAAAAATCAACGCTCCCATTCGTAGTGATTAGAATAGATCAGTGGTGGGGGCATCTACAGGAGGTCCTGGTGCTCGGTGCGAAGCAAAACTGAAGCAGTCGTCAAAAGACGTCGCAAGCGATTCAGATGATGAAAGCCGTCGGTATGGATCGTCCGCTGCGGTCGTGCTCAGTGCAAACGGGACTGGTCGATGTGTCATCTCAGCCGACCAAGCGTCTCACTTTTGCGGCATGGAGGAAGAAGGCAAGCGCTAGTCTGATTAGTCAAGAGTGTCGTGTTCACTCATCGTGTTGCGGTCGACTAATCGTAACGATGTCGTGACAGGAGCCACTCTACAGCTAACGTCTTCAACCGGAACGCCGCCGCTCATCCAAGTGGAGAACTGACCTTTCGAGTCGTTTTGTTGTGTTGGTAGCTGTTGTAGTAGTGTTTTGAGGTGTGTGCGCTTCATAGCTGATGCCTCTGCTTCTCACGACTCGACGTGAGCTCGTCGGCTCAGCTTTCCTGCAGCTACTAACATCATCTTTGCTGCACCCACTAAAAGCATGACTCCTGCTCCTAGCTACCTTACTTACATGCTCAGCACTCTTAACTGGCAGTCATCCTCGATTGCCGATGATCAAGGGTGATAACCAGTCGGGTGATCTAATATGTCTGCTCGCTGCTTCAACCCTCTGCTCGCCATTCCCAGAAAGTTAACTCTGAATTTTAGTGTCTTCGCCGCCGATTCCACCACCGGATGCTGGAAAATGTGTTATTTCGAAGGTAATAGATAGATCCTCTTGATAGCCCTTAGAGCCTTATTGGCCTTTTTTCTTCTACATAATGAAATGACTTGAATTGTTGACAATAAAACTGTTGTTGATATTGAGATAACCGGTTCTATTCAGGCGTCTGGTCGGGANAGCACTCTTAACTGGCAGTCATCCTCGATTGCCGATGATCAAGGGTGATAACCAGTCGGGTGATCTGATTTGTCTGCTCGCTGCTTCAACCCTCTGCACACCATTCCCAGAAAGATAACATTGCATTTTAGTGTCTTCGCCGCCGATTCCACCACCGGATGCTGGAAAATGTGTTATTTCGAAGGTAATAGATAGATCCTCTTGATAGCCCTTAGAGCCCTTATTGGCCTTTTTTCTTCTATATAATGAAATGACTTGAATTGTTGACAATAAAACTGTTGTTGATATTGAGATAACCGGTTCTATACAGGCGTCTGGTCGGGAAATATGCTATCCCCGATACGAGGATCTCGACACAACCTGCACAGATGTCACTGGCAGAAGTAGCTCAGGACTTGTGGCTCCACCGGTCATTCCTCATGCGACGTGAGTGGGAATTTTGGGGATATGTTCTAAAATTTCCCATTAAACACTTCTTCAGGGTGCGTGCAATGGCGTTCGTGCCCCCGGACAACTTGCGGCGGCTTATTGTGCAGTATTACCGGCAACAAGGAAAGCTCATGCCAAAGAATGTTACATTCTCCCCGAAGTAAGACTTTTTCATCATCAATCCGATCAGTATTACTTGAGAAGAATGCCTAAAAGAAGGACTATTCTAGTCCCATTCCTATGTTAAACATACTGAACTAATTCACCCAGACAGTCCGTAATATGCCCAAAGGCGAAATTGCGAAAATGGTCCTCACAGTGATCCGACTGTGAGTCCCCGCCCTAGACTATGATTGTGAAGTGGCCTGATTGTGAAGTAGCAGAACCTAACCACCACCCGCCCTAGACTTTANTGTGTATGTTAATAAGCTCATTTCGTAAGATGGAATTGCCTAGGGGGTTCTGAGTCCTCTGTATTTTTTCCTATAAGATCACTGTAAGGGTTGGATTCCCCTCTTGGACTTTGTTCCTGTGTGCTATGCTGCCCCCAAAAAGCCCTACCGGGCTACAGATTACATTTCATATCCACTAAGTATAGATAACCTGTGAAATCCGTAACTGAATGAGTAACAGCCCTTTTCCAGGTCATTTCTGTTCGTCAAGTATCACTGCGATTTTGGATACGAAATGGTTGACGAGATTGACACACTGTTCTGCCACCAGAAGAGCTGGGTCAACACCTTGCCCATGTGTCGAGGAAAAGGTTTGTGAATTTCCTCTGGCTGCGCTGTTGTGATAAGGTTCGTCGAGGGAGGGTATCATTTTACAGGACAGTGCGCTGTGAATAATGGCGGATGTAGCCATTCATGCTTGTCAATAAACGATGTGACTGTGGAATGCAGATGCCCCCGAGGAATGACTCTTGATAGCGATCAGAAGACTTGCATCAGTAAGTCTCGATCGATTACGATTCTTCTCACCTTTTATGCCCTGTTTTTGAAACTGAACAAAGGCCCTGACATTCTTTGTGCTCTCTGTACCAGATGATGTTGAAAGCAGAGATTTGCAGGAAGAAGGGCACAGACCACAATAGTAAGGGTTTTGGAGATTTCTCATTAGGATGAACCTGTGTCCCACGAAGATAGCGTAAAAAGGATGGTGTTGGGTCAAAAAATCGCCGAAAATAGGGCATAATAAGTAACCGAAAATCGACCTAGTCGACGTACATACTCAAAGGTGGACGTGTATTCACAACGTTGTAGAGGCTAGAGGTTGCAGCATCCGCATCGGCACATACATGGTGCACGCAGGCAGCTGATGGCAGCGAGCTGGACATTTGGACAGCTCGTCCAAATACCCATCCATGCTACTTTTGTCGTTATATTCTGGTCCAACCCCTATTTTACTTTTACTTCTGAAGACTCGTATTTCTCTGAATATTCCGATTTTCATGTTTTCTGCGCCATTGAGCACTATTCTATACAATCACTTCCATTATTCAACTAAAACTAGTTACCCCAAAATTATGAGAAACTGTGTCTTTAGACATAAAGGTTGCCTTATGAATGCAACTTACGGTGGGGACATCTTTAATGAGTAATATGCAATAATTTCTGGCACTGGTCAATGCAGTAGGTTGTACCCACCTATAAACGATCTAGATGATTTTCTCTACATCTGTGGTGGGCATTAATCGCCTCACAACATTGCGCTTCTTCGAAGTGGGTAAACGAACGTAGGCATAGGAGCTATGCGAAGGCGGTGTAGAGTGTGTCCACCCGCATCCGGGAAGGCCCAAAATGCTTGAATGCTCCTTTACTTTTCTACTTTTCCGAGTTCAAGTTCACTTTATGCAGCATTCAGCTTCATTTGATGCAAAAATTTTTGTAAAACTGTCCTCACCGTTGAATCAATCTTGCATCATATAAAGACGTCAGGAATCGCACATTGTATACACCTGAGCTCCTTCATCAAAGGCACACGATAAAAATGGGTTCTGAGATTTAATTCTAGGATGAAGCTGTGGCCCTCAGGGATAGCACGTAGGCCTTTGTTCGGGCGACGACCTCGACAGAGCATCATACACCCAAAAAAGGCCATGCTCTAGCGGCCTTGTGCTACACCACTCACATCGAAGCCATAAGACGCCTACGAATAGTAAGCTTATGTGGGAGACACATTTGCGATGTCGACAATACTATGATTGAACCAAACGGATAGAGACTTTTGTCGTTTTGACCTGGATAACCAGCTCTTTACACTATTGTTCCAATCAAGATCTCCTCCAAAAAACATCTTTCCTGCTGCCTCTGTAGTCATAATATTGTACAGCCCCTTTTTACCACTTTTTTGAAGCCTTGTATTTCTCGCTTGAAATCCTCGGTTTCCGCATTTTCATCGCCATTTTTGCACTATTCTTCACCATGCCTTCTACTAATTCACTCAAGCTAAGTACCCCAAAACCATCATGTACTTCTTTAAATGGGCACCCAGTCACCTCTTTCCTTCTCCTCCTCTTCGAGTGTTATGAAAGCATTCGGGAGCAGATGTAGAGAGTAGTTGGATGGAAGGTGATCGTTATATGTGCTATCTCTCACGAAGTAAAAACTTGGCCTTTTGTAATGTCTGACGTTTTCTGGACATTCTGGAGTAACTTACTGTTAATTAGCATCGACACAGATACAAAAGACTTCAGCTATCTTTATGGCTTTGTTACAGAACCGATTCCAAAGACATTGTGCAGATCTTTGGCTGGCTGCTCTTGCACGGCGATCGACCCGAATCAATACTCATGCACATGCCCGAAAGGAGCCAAATGCCTATGTAAGAATATGTGCTTCATTTTTTCTTTTCCTTTTTTCTCACAAGCAAGTCGTTTCTTTAACATTTTCTCCTTTCAGTACTGAAGGGAGCACCGAAACTGTATGTTGAACCTCCTGGTCCATATGAAGTGCCACCTGGAGGTAACATCAACATCACTTGCTCCGCTGTAGCTTACCCATTTCCGGATATTTTTTGGCAAAGGTGGGTAATGATGAAAGATCGCAAATTTTCTAAAACATTTGTGAATCCGAAAAATTCCAGAGGCAATGAAAAGATCCACCACATGCCATCAAAAGCAGGGACAGTGAAGAACGAGCAGATTCTCATAATTAAGGAGCTCTTCAAAAATGCCGAATTCACTTGTCATGCAAATAATTCAGAAGGAAAAGTCGATAGAACTATCAAAATTATAATCACCGGTGAGTAGATAGGTATTTAATAATAAAGAAAGGCATTTGGACCACTAGATTCACTTCGCCCTTTTTTAGGACCTGGTTCGGCACCCGTATTGCGTGGTGCGCTGTCAGGAAGGACGAATATTCAGGTGCGATGGGATCCACCCCACGTCATCAACCGACCAATTACCAGCTATACCGTCTACTACACCAACAACGGGAATCAACCGATAAAAAATTGGCAGCGTATGGAAGTGAAAGGTACGGTAGAAGACAGAAGTAACCCATCTTGGGATACGATGGGAGTGTTCTTGGAGCAGTCAGATAGTGAAGGGGCTTTCCCATTTTTCATGTGTCTCGTAAGTTCGGCGAATGAGGCGTTTCATTTCAAAGGGGTAGGTCTAAATCGGCATTGATCGAATTGTTCGGCATTGTAACTAGCTAGGGAGTAAATCGAGGAGAAGCCAACTTTCAAAGAGGGGTTTTGTTTAAGCTTCAGTTGCAATCTGCTTGTCAGGCATGTGGGAGGAAGGGTCATTCTGTCACATTTTTCAGAGCCCAATCACAGTGCAACTATCGAGAATCTCAGACCTAATACACCGTACTTCATTCGACTGCGGGCGAACGACCAGATGGGTCCGGGAAGGCTCGGTAACCCGGCTTCAGTCACCACCCTCAAACCAGGTTAGTTCGCATCTCATGCCATGTTCGTAATTCTTGATTGTGAAACCATGTTCAGCTGCTCGACCGCTTGTCTTCATTGAGCAGGGTGAAGAGCTTCTTGTTGGTCCACTGAAGCCTTTTGAACTTGGATGTAACATCACACGAGCGGATCCAGTGCCGATCGTGACCTGGCAGCATAAGTGAGTTGATTTAGAGTTAGTTCAATTGCTGGATAACTAGAAAAGCACAACCTACAGAGGACGACCGTTAAACAATGGCGAAAGAACGATGTTCATGAAAATGCATATTGGCGGAATTATTGAGAATACGGTATTCGCATGTGTAGCAGAAAACGAAGCTGGAAAAAGTACCAAACGGATCAATATCACCGTGACAGGTAAGTAAAAGACTATAGAAATGATCGCTTTTTGTCAAACGAGTCCCTTCCAGGACCTACGGCCCCTGAACGTATCCGATACCAAGTGGACGGCGACAAAGTGAACCTGCAGTGGGAACAGCCGAGAATTATCAACGCGCCCATGGCTGGCTACGATATCCTCTATACGGACAACCCAAACCTTCCCGAGGATCAGTGGCAGGTGAATACTAATTGCGGATCTGGTGCTGTTCTTTGAAATTGAGCCATCCTGCAGATCGAGCGAATCGATGATCCTCTTGCTCACACCGCGACTATCACTGGACTCAAGGAACGCACACCGTACACATTCCGGATTCGGGGGCGCAATAAGCTAGGCGAAGGACTCCCGAGTGGTCCCTTCAATGCGACCACCTGGCTCGGAGGTGAGTTTGTCCCTCGTCCTCTCTATTTGTGTTGAACTTTCTCTCTTCCAGCTCGCCCTCCCCATGTAACGGTGACCCCTCGTGGGAAAATCGTCAAAGAACCGAGCAACGAACCGTTGACCATTGAATGCGAGGCAATTGGGGTTCCCAAACCGAAGATTATCTGGCTGTGGAGTGGTCAACTAGTTGAAGACGGCAAGGTCAACTACTTTTGCTGGCTTGCCTATTGTACTGGCTGACTTCTGGTTTGCGCAGTTTTTGGGTTTCAGGATGAATTCCGTGTCTACGATATTACGCCTATGGATGCTCAAGACCGTTCAACAAGCAAGCTCATTGCCCAAAGCACTACAAGAACTGGCGTTGCTACCTGTCAGGTAAGCAGTACTTCAAGAACCTGGTGGAGTTTCGAAAATCCTTACTGTTGCAGGCCGTCAATGCCGAAGGTTCTGACGAGAAAAGAACAGAAGTGAAGATTCTTGGGCCAGGTAGTGCTCCTCTAAATATCCAACCTACTCCGATGCACACTGGATTTGACGTTGCATGGCAACCTCCTAAAAGGCCAAATGGACGTATCAAGGTATGTTTGGCAACTTTTGTTCATTTCAAATTCAGAAAAACTTCTGAATTTGAGATGAAGAAAAGAAAGAAAAAGAAAGAGAAGAAGAGTCTCTGTTTCTAGAACTACATCGTCTACTACACCAAAGATCCAGATCAACCGTTGTCAGAATGGAAATCAGAAACCGTCGGCGGTGACATCAGGTAGGCGCGCTACACTGAGAGTTTCAGAACGGGGAGCTTCACATCATGTACTTATGAACTGTGAAGCTCGTGATGACCCTTGGGAAACAATATTCTCGGTCCTCGGGAGGGTGTCCTATACCCAAAAGAAGAGCTATAGATAGTCACTTCCCAGAGCAACTTGTGGTTTATTTGTTCTCATTCTGAAAAGGCCTTTCTAGGCAATGACCTGCCCCTACCCTTGAGACATTTCATTTTTGAGGAAAGGAAAGGATTCATGTTTGGAATTAGACAATGTCTGTAAAAGCAATCTAAATCAATTTCATTGTCATGAAGTTTGCGCTTCTTAAACGTTCATCACCAGGAACCTCACGGTGCGAGTCGATGACGAGGATACCCCTTACGTGGTGAAGGTGCAAGCAGCGACAGACGATGGCCCCGGAATCATCTCGGAAGCCTATGAAGTGACCACTGGCAGGAAGCGTGAGTAGTCTCACCAAAACGTTCCAAGTTGTTTGATAACCGCAAAGTAGGGGAAACATTTGACTGCTTTCAGAAATTCCTCTCACTGTTCGACTCGAAATCAGCGATCCGCATGTTTCTGAATCCGATACTGAGACTGAGGTTGAGCCGGCGCAGCCTATTCATTTCAGGTCAGTAAGTAAACTCATTCAGAAAATGTTGAGAATCTACGATGTATCGGCGTGTATTCAGGTGCGTGGCGGAGGGACGTCCAATGCCGAGCGTTTCCTACAGTTGGCTTCCCATGAACTCGACCGAAAGCGGTGATGTGAGTGAACATTCCATATGAAAAAGGATCGTTGGCAATTTCGCCATAGAATAAAGCATCGCACTCATATCCTATGTTACTCAATGACGATACGTAAAAAAGTTCAGTCCGCGCTAGAAGTCATCACACAGAACTGTGAACTTCTCAGATGAAAAATTACTAGATCACACATGCCACAACATTCGCTGTTACACTAAAGGCTGAGGGTTCTTCGATATGAGAATGTTCAGCGAAAGATCGAAATCAGCTCACCCAGCGTGGATGAATGAACTGCCGTTTGGTTATAAGCCAAATTTGGAAAAATTCCCTTATGCTCATTGGGGTTAACGCGGGTTGTGGTTTTGAGAGGAATACACTCCTATTGCGTTAATTCTTGCACTTTCCTTAACACTGGTTTCATGTACTTCATTGTAATTCCAAGAAAACAAGATATACTATCTTTTTTAGGAACCCGTACCTATTCCTATCCAGCCAGATCCGGCACAGGAACATCGCTATTATTCGATTCAGGTAAGGTCGCAAGATTTCATATGGTGCAATGAAGACAGGCTTTCTGGTAGATAGCTTGGGGAAGTAGCGGCATGGTTAGCACATAGGAGAATAAGAATATCTTTAATTCAGGAGAGGTTTAGGAACATTTTAAAACCTTTTCCTGAACAAGTGTAGACCAACCTTGATCTGAAGACTCATCAAAAACACCTATACTGAGCTATTGTTAGGTCTACTCAACGACATCAACGAAAAGGACACTTCTTTGTCAAGCGCGAAATCCTGATGGCACGGTGGAGGACAAGCATTTCTTCATCGTGAACAGTTAGTTATACGCAGCTCTTACTTACCTTACAGCATCCAGGTGTGATGGTTTGCAATAGCATTTTTTCGAGTATTTTCAAAACAGTGGAATATTTAGGACGGAATTTCTTCAGAAACGGAGCCATGACTCAGTTTTTCTGAATTGCTTTTGTACTTTGGGTACAGTGCAAATACGTCAAAGATACTTAACTGCAGCATTTTTCCAGAACCTGGTAGTCCTCCAAGGGATGTTAACGTAATAGTGGANGGGGAGAATACACCGTCAAATTCAGAGTTACAATGTCTATCTTACTGGAGATCCATCACAACCTGTGGACCAATGGCAAAGATTTGAAGTTACGGATCCGAACAATCCGAAGCTCATTTTCGAACGTGGAGAACTGGAACCGGAAAGCCCCTACTACGTCAGGATTGCGGCTGTTAATCCGTTCGGTGAAGGAGTGCATTCCGATGCGTCACACTTCACTACAGTCAGTGGAGGTGGGTTTCTAGACTCTTGGTGTTTTTGACCTACCTATATTCGGAGAATAAGGCGACCAATACATTCTGTTCAAAGAAATCACAAAATAACCTGAAATCCATTTCAGCTCCGATTGATTCCCCATCGGATATTTTGCCTACAGTCTCCGATGACAATACTGTCAATATCAGCTGGTTTGGACCGAAAGAACCCAATGGACCGATTAAGGCACTCAAACAATTTCAAGCTATGCTGTCAACCAGTGTTTATATGAAAGTCGTTATTGCAGTCATATACGATCTACTTCGCTCCCGATGACGGCACCGCAGAAGACGACGACTATAAGAATTGGCCTCGTATTGAGGTTCCAACAAGCGATGATCACGGTAATGTCATCATTGACAAGGACCAATACGACATCAAGCCTAACACTCCTTACAAGGTGATTGCTTGCTGAGGTGTTCAAAAGAAATCCGTTTCTCGCCAACAGTGTTCCTGCCAGGTAGAGAATGCCTTTAAGAACGAAAGCAAATATTTAGGTCCGAATTTCGGCCACAAATGATCAGTCTGAAGGCCCAGCGTCGGAGCCGATACATTTCGAAACTGGAAGTGGAGGTAACTGAATAAAACCAGGATGAATGAGTAGAGCATCTTGAAAACCTTTGTTCAGAAATGCCACCTACCATCACCCTGGATCCACCAAAAAATATCGTTTCTGTGGAGCCAGAAGGGTCGGTCAACATTATTTGTACTGCCACCGGACTACCACAACCGATTGTCTATTGGGTACTGGAGAATGGTGAAAAAATTGAAGGAAGGGCATTGCAACTTACCAATCTCATCAAGGTACGTACAGCCTATAGGTAGGAGAATGCGCAAGATTTATGACCTGTGCTTCAGGACACTACAGCTACATGTCGTGCAGAGAACAGAGCTGGAATGACGCAAGAAGTCGTGCAAGTCCAAGTTTCTGGTGGGTAATGATCAAGTTTCGGTCGATAATTCTCTAGAAGACAATCTTTGGTTGCAGGTCCTGGTACTCCTCCAAATGAGATCGTATTGCTTCCCATGCCGAACCAAGTGATCAATGTGGAATGGACAACACCGGATGAAGTGAATGGCCGCATTACAAATTACATCGTACACTATGGAGAAGTACCCGAAGGTTCGGCCCAATCTCAATTACATTCGCCTACAGTTACTAAAGTTTCAGAAAGCAGGCATTCTTGTTGCTTGAGGATAACAGTCTCATAAGCGCGATCCTGAGAACCTGGCTACGGTTGATACGGAAACAGTGGAGTTTTTCAGGAGAAACGGAACCAAAGGAATGGAAACAAGCGACAGTTGACGCTATAGACGTTAACCATCAATTGCCAAACCTGGATCCGAAGAAGAATTATGCTGTTCGAGTTCAAGCTGTAAGCGATCGTGGTCCAGGAGTCATTTCAGCTCCTCAGATGATCCGCACGCTTCCTCTTGGTCAGCATTTCATGTCTCTCTATTGATCGTCTATGAATTCAGCCTGCGTGAATTTCCAGCTCCCGCTAAGATTGTCAATCCGGAAGTTACTGTCTTCAACAACAACTCGATAGTCATAGATTTCGTTCCCCCAGCAGATCCTGACTCACCGAACAAACAGATTAAGGTATGCTGTTTCATCAAACTTCCTTAAAGGCACTGCTCGCGAAGATTCAATGGGCGGACATGTCATCGACACACCCGCTCACTGAATCATCGCGAACAGTGCCTTTAAACGTACACTCTCTCGAATTTATGAAAATTTGAATTTTTGTCCTGTGGGAAGCACATGCCACTACTAGATAAACGATAAAGGAGAGATAAACGTGAAAATCACAAAACTTTTCAATTGTAGGACTTCGTGATACAATACACTTCCGAAGACCCACCTACTGATGAGACCGAATGGAAGGAACTCCGCTTCACTGATCCAGATGTTACTGACAATTACACTGTAGGCATAAATCTTCGTCTTTAGTCCTTCCGTTGATTATACAGCATTCGAATTGTTACAGGTGGTACCTATCGATGGCGAGAACTTCAATCCGGATACAAAGTATCACATGCGAATTATTCCTCGTGGCGAAATCGACGGGCCTAGCAGTGATCTGACCACCTTCACAACTGGAGATGGCGGTATGCTTAACTCCCAACTCCTTTCAAATCATTTGATCATCAGGGAGATGGTCTCATCTATTACTTATCATTACTTAGCTCGGCTAGCAAGTACTGCCGACGGATATTCGTCTCATAGTAGTTTATTGTTTTCAAACCACTACCACAGGGTCCTGTCCCTGTGGTAATGGTGAACATCACTGACTACTGACAAATTCTCTGATTTCTGTCACCAGTCAGAAGACCATTCAGGGGAAGCGAGTTTCTCCCATGGTAAAATGGTGTGGGAGAACAGAGAAGCTAGTAGCATCTCGTTCAGGAATTTGGTGTTTCTAAAAAAAGTCTTTTCCGTCATATAACCTCGCTGTAACTGACAAGTCTTTGTCACCGAAAAGGCAGCGATTAATTATCAAGCTGTAGATTCATATGCCCAGTTCCAAATTGAAAGTCTGTTGAAATTCTATTCTTCGGGCGAGCAGCAGGGCTCTCACCCTTCAAGGAACCTTAAGTGGCATCACATGAAGGTATACTTGAGTTTTAAATTCCATTGAATATGATATTCTCTTTGCAGTCATCACACCTTCACAGCCAGAATTCAACGTTGATGCGCCTGACAATGTGATTCGAGTCCCAGCTGGAACGGACTATGTAGTGACTTGCACTTCTACCGGATTCCCTCCACCAGAGATTCGCTGGGTGGACAGCGAAGGAAATGTAATGAATGTTATTTGAAGTTTATGCGGAGCTATTTGAGAAGCTAATTCAACAAACTGAAAACAAAAAGGCTAGCATTCAAATGAACACCTTTAGCAACTCTCCGATGGTCCACAATTGAAGCTTATTGATGTGAGAAGGACCGTAAAAGCGAAATGTCTAGCAGAAAACCGAGGCGGGCTAAAGGAAACCGATTTCACTGTGTTTGTAGCAGGTTGGATTCGTGCTACATTTACATTGCTACATTACTATTGTCAGAATTCAATAATCGAAACTTGCAAGTCATGAGGGAGTTCTGGAAAACTAGGGTGGCCTACTGAAAGAAGGAACTTAACTTACCAATCAAATTATTCGGTTTACAGGACCAGGATCTGCACCAGAAAATGTTCAACTCCATGCTGACAAGCCGGTTACGATATCAGTGCAGTGGGACCCTCCCCTTATTCCGAATGGCAACATCACCAAATATATTATCTACTACACACCTCTGGATGATCAAGTTCGTGATTCGTTGATTACTCTACCCTCTATTGCTCAGATAATTGCTCTTTAGGATCCTGCCCACCAAATTGGTCAGGTGCAATCGAGACCGATCAACGAATGGGTGACTTATCACGATACACCGGATACTAATGGCACAAGAAAAGCTGAATTGAAAGATTTCGTTGAGACTGATACGGCTTACGCTGTTGTGGTACAGGCAATCAACGACGATGGACCGGGCCCCTATTCGAATCAGTACACGATCAGGACTATGTCACGTGGTAAGGCGTTTGGCGTTAGCGAGCGATCTTACAAGTTCTGTTCTCCCTCAGAAGGGCGGCTCGAAAAAAAACTCTTTCAGCTCGGGAAGGGCCTCCAATAGACTTGAGAGTAGACCCAGATGGTCAGCGATCAGCAATAATCGAATGGAAGGAACCGGTCACAACAGATGTGAAGCCACTCGGCTACGAGATCTACTATGTACCTGGCGATAAGAGTGTTGATGCCGATGACCTGGTTCTAAGCGACTGGTGGGTTGCTAGCTATGTATGCAACAGCGTTTCAGCTAATTTATAAAACTTAGACGTAAATATAAATCGGTATAGTGTTTGCGTGGAATAGACGGCAGGTAATGTCGATACAGTTCTATCCATTCCCTCTACAGCTTGCGCTTGCTTAGGTATTGGTAAAATCCATGAGTATTCGATCACATTTGTAGCCTTCTGCTGTTTGTTGGTAACGTACATGTGGCGGAAGATATCCCTTCTCCTTGCGCTCAGACAGAAGAATGGTTTTTGAACTGTCTGGATCTTCACCCGATAGACCGCTCTACTCGGAGCTACTTAACTGGAATGTAATCCCTTGTTTTGAAGACTCGGTGAAAGTGAACTTTTGGAACATCTTGCGAGGAACACATGGTGATGTGCATGGTAAAGCGCGGCGTGTTTCACCTTGGGAGCTATAAGCCTACCTGGAACTAGGGTCGTGAGCTATCACATATTGGTGCCCATGAAATGGCAACTGCACAACTGGCGATATCGGTGTTATCACCCTTTTCTGAATGACACCAATAAAGTAACTGTAGCTTTCTCGGTTTCGTTTCATTCTTGTTCTGAGTTGGATTTCCAACCACAAACTGCAAAGAACCCATCAAGCTTCGAGCATACTGATCACATCTTAGAGGGCCAAATTCCCTTCTTGCGCTCAATTCTGCCTTTTGCACATGATCACAACTTTTGAGAGCTTCCGGAAGAAGAATTTGGTCTTTATATGTCTTCATCAGCTATGTGATCTCGAACACAATCGTTTTACTTCAAATTCATTCAAGGTCCAAGATAGTGATCGATGATCCGAGCAAACTTTCGCACAAGATCCAGAACTTACTCCAGCCGGATACCGACTATGTCTTCAAAATCCGGGCGATCTACCCCGACGGTCCTAGTGTGTTCTCTGAACCGTGTATTATGAAGACTCTCCCAGACGGTACGCTTTTAGTTCACTAAATGGCTATTATGTCCTGACAGAGCCTTCAGTATAAATGCTTCAATAAAAATTGATATACTATGACATTTCATATATTACACTTCCAGGCAATGCTCCGTACATACAAATTTCGACTGGGGAGAACGGTGTTGAAGGAAGTTCGAATATCGATGTTTTGCCTGGATCTCAAATTACCGTCTCCTGTAATGCTACTGGGCTTCCACTGCCTTCAGTCAAATGGATTCGGGGTGGTACATATGAGATTGATCCAAGCACGGTGAGTACGACATATTCAATGAGGTGCCGACAGGGGACTGAGCCTTCCCATGCAGGTTGATACCGCGGTCTCACATGCGCAGTTCTCGTTGCAAGTGGCTAATATCACTGAAGATACGACTTTCAATTGCGTAGCACAGAATCCTCTCGGACACGCGAATTGGACTATCAACGTTAACTTATTGCCAGGTACATTTTGTACCTTCCACTCCTCAGACGTTTCTGTTTCTTCTGTGAGGTCCGCTTTATTTTGATATTCTCTTTGTAGCTATCTTTATAATCTCATAGGACTTGAACCGGAATGGAAGGATGACTTCGTCGTTTCAAAGACTGAGAATGGTGAAGTTGTTCTTGCTTTCAGTGATAATCTACCCGACTATCTCAAACCACCGGTAATCAAACTATTTCACATAGATAAACAAGAAGTCACAAATAAAAGAGTCGAATGTTCAGAGTGACTGGGTAATACGATACACTGATGACCCCGATTTACCAAAGGATGAATGGAAGACTATTCCATCTGACTCTGGACCACTGACAAGGATCGCAGTTCCTGATATGGAACCGGGAACGTACTACTATCTCGTTGTTGATTCCCCTGACAAAGGAATTCAAACACCAACGCTACTTGTGATGACTCCAAGTAAGTTGATCACTGACTTCATCACTGTACCATAGAACCAATCGGTCTGTTACTTATTTATTTATTTATTTACTTATTTACTTATTTATCCATGCGTGTCACTTCACGCGCCTTAGCTAGTCCAGTCCATAAAAAGCGGTGACAGTAAAAACAAATAATTAAGAGAGCTTAGTATCTATCAAGAAATGAAGGATGCTGAAAATTGTAGTTGACAGACAGACATACCGTAGCTGATAATCAGAACATAGCAAGGATACCTCTCTAACCTGTAGTGGCTCGCGTGGCATCCAGGTCCACTATGTACCTGCACCAGTCGGCAATGGTGCCTCAATCAGAGGGACTTGCCTGGACTTTGGCACACGAGTATACCGACAACCTCGTGAAGCAGGTAAGCCAGGTAATGATGTGATGTCAACCTTATAAGCTTCCGAGGAGATTAGTTGTGGCTTGGAAGGGTAACGCTCATAATGCTGACGGATACGGCAGCGGTTTTTGTTGTAGGGTTTCATCGTAACATTGATTTTAGCTCTACCCGAGCTCCCTACCCTTTGGCCTTCAACGTGAACGAAGAACTTGCAAATCGACCACGTTGGGGGTAAATGGGCTGAACTATTTGGCTCAAACCTCAAACGTGTTTTAATGCGCACCCATCCTACGAGTGGAGATAGGGTAATAGTGCCAAGGCTAAGGGCCCAGTCACACAAGTGGCCAGGTAGTCGGATTGGGACCGATACCCGTCCAGGCCAACCAACCAAATCTGCGCTCCTCAATGTGGTGTCGATTTATGACACCACACTTGGCTGTGAGTTTAGAATCACACACAGATCGCACACAGATCAAGCATGTTCATGTACCGGACCATCACGCGATTCGTAGAATAGACTCTATGTAGTTTAGGATCTTTGTTCCCACCTAAAGTTATCGTATATGAGCATTTTTTGAATAGAGTGATTAGAAAGTGCAGAAAACTTTGAATGATGAACCTATTCGTTGATATGTATTTCCTATTCTATAACGCACCTCATGTTAGAGCCGCCCAGCGAGATCCGAGTCGGTACAAACATCAATGATGAAGCAGTTGTGGATTTCAAGGACGCTATTACGTCGCAACCTATAAGAGTAAGTTTCTGCTATTCTGCTGCATTACCGAGAACTCTCCAAGTTGGTTTTATTTCAAAGAAATAATCACAACCATGAAAAATGATCTTATTGTCAATTTTGTAGTGATTGGTTGCTTTTCCTGCAGCAAAAAGGTTCACGATTCTATGGGCTGAAGGGTGTACCCACTCGAGCTGCACCTATGTAACTGGGAACTTCACCTGAAAAATCATACAGCTCACACTTGTAAAGCATAGCAGGTGCGGAATCGAAAAGAAGGGTGCTTAAGTGTTTCTCGCAACGCTCACCATACATTGGAAAATTTATAATGCTCACCATGTCGTCCGCATAAGGGAATATAGCGCTACTTTTGCGATACGGCAATTCAGTACTGGCAAATTGGTTAAAAAGCCGCATTGAGGCTTATGTGCAGCAGTCATGCAGCTGGCAAGAGGGGCTTATAGTCTGTACATAAAAATTCGCATTTTTGCTCGATGTACTCGCATTGATCCCTCTCATAAAGTCTGGTGAACGCATATTTGTCGCAAAAAAGGAAAACAGCGAAGAGAATCGCACACGTACCAGGTGGTCAGATTACGCTGACTTCCGTGAAGTTTCGTGGAGTTGATAAAACCGATCCAATGTGTTCTCCCAATAATACCGGGAAAAGAGGCACCAACGTGTCTGGTAAGGAATCCCGGCTCTCTTTTGGAGTGAGCTTTCAATCTCTCAGACCAATCTGATCTCATTCAACGAACCCCGTTAGAATACAAGGCTCGGTTGACTCGTGCGAGTATCAATCCTGGATTCAAACTGCGGACCATGTGCGCAACCTGCCACCACACCACCTTCTCGCCCCTATTTAGAACTTATTATGTTGCAAATACCGCTTTGAAGTTCACCACTAAAAGCCTATCCTAGAAATAATGATAATGATTAAAGGCCTTCTTTGTAAAAAAAAAAAAAGTGGATTTGAGTAAAACTCTCAGTTTCACACTACCACCTGGCGAGGCCAGAAAAGCTAACAAACAATACAGTCTCAGACAAAACTTATCTTTAGAAATACTCCATCAAAGTTTGGAAAGTGGACGATCCAAGCAACATCAAACACTATGAGACAAGTCCTGATGTATCAAGTGGTGTTGTTCTTGACGGCTTGGAGCGGGATACAGAATACGCAGTGCAGGTTGTAGAAGTCTAGAGTACTTTCCAAACTTTACATTATTTCTAAATTTGTAATATGAGATTTGCAGGTAGCTGCCGAGTTCTACGAAGGAGACAGCCTAGCAAGCGAACCTGTGACAGTGCGTATTCCACCTGGTGGTCAGTCAAATTTCTGTTCTTGTGTTCCATCTTTATTTCATGATTGTTCAAGTAGGAAAACTAATCATGGGAATGAATGCATTTCTTTTTGAGCAGGCAGAAAAGTGAGGGTCTTCTTCTGAAGCATACACATCGGATTGTTACTAGTCCAAATTTGGGACCGCTAGTTACCCCTTCACATTTGAGACTGCCAGAATATGATCATTTAGTTTGGAAGTTTCCACCAGCTTAGCTTACATGAGCTAATAAGTCCGTGAAGAACGAGCTATGGGCTGGCAGATTAGGAACTGTGCTACGGCCCGCCTTTTTTTCAGTCCCATTACTGCGCCTCAGATTTTACCTATGGACCTATATTCACCTATATATATAGGCACAGTTCATAATTCATAATACCAATGTTCAGTGATCTTCCATCGTGTATGCCGTACAGCTATTGATAGTCATTGTTCCTCTGAATGGGAATGATAGTTGGCTCACCATTGCTCCCAATAACACATTATTTTCCCTCTTAGCTCTTCTCATCATTGAATCTTCTAGTAATTTGTTATTGAAACTACTTTACACCTATAGAAAAAGTTAGTGCGAGTGGCCGACGCTGCAGGAAGGAAGTTACTGGCATAAGTAGATCTATTCCCAATTTAGAGAGATGTACATATAATCCCAGGGAGTATCTTTTAATGAAGTGAGAATTTTAATAGGCTCAAAGAAATACTTCAACGAAAACAGTTTGCTTACTGAAAATATCAATAACAAAATCCAGGGCATTTCACTCAACTTGAAGATTTATTTTCGAAGCTTCACAATTAGTAGCATCGGAAATAGTCCAGTGCACCACACACTGGTCCGGAATGGTCTAAATTTAACTAGTGGCCCCTTGTGTAGTTCCCTTTACTAGACTATTAGGTGATCACGTTTGGTTGTCTGCTTGTTGTCCTTACTCGGTTGGGCTCAGTTGAAGTAATATTTAATATTTAGTAATAATATTTTTAATTTTTTCACTGGGCGTCAGAATGCGTTTCAGAATCAGAAATCAATAGATGATACACAAGAGTATGCAACTTTATCAGTGACCCATCTTTGCAATTTTGCAATACTAAAACATGAAAGGCAATGCGAAACAGCTGTGCAGGGATTAGTAAAAGAATTGTAGGGGTGTAACACAAGGGGAAACAGTTGAAAGAGTGTAGTGGTGGAAGCAGTGAAAGTAAATACATAAGATATTTGTGAAGGTACATATGTAGTGGCAGCGGCGGACTATCCAATTCGAGGGATTCTCAGAAAAAATAGCAAGCGTGTAGAGAAGCTGATATTGCTTTGGGTCTAGTAAAGGAGTTTTGATGGAACTCAAGTAATTTGTATGTGACTTCACGTGATAAAAAACGACACTTAAAAGCTTTCTCTCATTCCATCTCTTCAGATTTGGTTACTTTTTGATAGTGTCTGATGTCAAATAAAAGAAAAAAGTCCCCGAAAAAAGTGTGAACCGCCATCCTCTCTGCATAAGTTTGTTTGCAAAAGAATTGGGAGAATCGTGTACTCACCATGGACAAGTCTTCAACGTTATTCAATCTCGTTCCATTCTTGCGCCCCCGCATTTGACACCCGCTCAGAATCGTAGTGACGATTTTGAATGCATGTATGGCCTATACAATGACTTGCGGAAGCCAGCCAATGTATAAGACAGTAATTTTTTACTCCCAGACGAGACTGGTACCTATTCACCGACCCTGGAGTATAGAAGGCTTGGTTGGCTTGGATTTGAACAGTGGACGGCGCGTGTAGTAGTTCGCCCCTTGTCACTACACCATCTCCCGCCATTTATAACATTATGGAAATTACAACCCAAGTAGTGTCTGTTTTCCAAATACCAACAGGAACTACTTGCGAGTATGTGCTTTTCATATTATGATATTTTTTGTTTGCCCCCATAATTCGTTAACTTTCATAATTATAAGATCTCAACGTCATTGAAATTTTATGATTCTTACGATTTGACCTCTGTTCTGAAATGCACAGCTAGTTTCTATTCCAAAGGAACGGATAGCTCAGCTGATTGTGTCTGTGTTTGTGAGTCTAACAGAGACAGGCTAGCACTAAATTAATCAAGCGCGATCATCCCACTGGCAAGTAGCTGAAGTTGTGACGAGATCTCTTCTCAATTGCACTACAAATCAAGTACTTCTCCCTGACTAGAAAACAGTCATGCTTTCTGACACGATGCAAGTTTTTCATCTCTCCATATCGGTTAATCGGTTCTAGACTGGTCTCATAGAACAAAAGCATGATTTCTACCGTCTGACCCTCACAGGTCACTCATCACATACATATGAAGTCGCATACGTACAGTGTGAGACATCTTAAAGTGAGACTGCCCAATCATTAAAAAAACCGCCTTCTCCTAACCTACTAATTATTTTTACAGTAAATCAGAAAACTAGATATTGGCCCTCAAGTGTAACAGAAAGGACCCAAAAACTCAAGAGTTAGGGCATAACAGGAGCCCCACTACCGGACCGATCGGATGTCACGCCAATCGACCAATTAAGTGTCGAAGCGATACAGTTTGCGATATTCACGCTAGGACCCACACATTCAGCACGCAATCAGCTGATCGCCGAATGAGGGAATGTTTTCCCCTTATTCTATTTTTTCTGTTGTTCTTTTTGCTGATCCTTTATGGTCCTGTGGTCCTTTATCTAGTTTTCAACCTCAAAAGGTCAGCAAGGGGGTCACTTTGCTGTTTATAGCATTTTTGTTAATTTATGCTTATGGGTGAATGGATTTTAATGGACATTTTGCTTACTGTAGTCAGCTATTCGCACCAGGACTCACACGGACTCACACGTACGCAACGACACTTCATCGCACTATTTCCCACCTTTTTTATTCTTCGTCATGATCTAAATAACCCAGAATTATCGTGAACTGTGCATTTAAGGTGACTTACAGCTCCACCATCTGAAAGTATCCTACTATATATAACGCGCTAAGTGTGTCTGTTGGTTTGTCTGTCTGTGCGTGTGTGTGTGTGTGTGTTTGACCGGAAATTCATAACTCCGGTTCCCGTTGACCTAGAGAGTTCAAATTTGGTAGGAGTACAGGCGGCAGGATAGGAACACTAATGGTGGGTGGCGGGACCGGACTCCGCCCAAAGGGGGCGGGGTTTGGGCAGAAATTCATAACTCCTTCCCCCGTAGACCTAGGAAATTCAAATTTGGTAGGAATACAGGGGGCAGGACAGGAACACTATCGGTGGG